TTGTGACAACTCAATTAAATTTTAGATTTCGTTCGTGTAACAGAATCCTTCGAAAGTGTCCTTAAACAATATCTTACTTTATTCTTAGATCTATTTTGTAAACGAAAATCTATTATACTTGAAAAATTCATTTGACTGTATACATAATATTTTGCAATTGCGAATGTAAACTCAACTCATTCATTTTGTAAAAAGAAAAATATTGGGTAGAACATATATTTTTAAAGAATTCATTAACTTTATCTTTTACATGGAATGATATATAACATTCAAGTCTCAACATTAACAAATTTAGTGCCAATAATTTTAAACTACGTTTCGTAAATCATTCCTATTGTAATATATTGAACAAACTGAATGTTNTAAATAGTCTTTCTATAGACTTTAATGAAAGATTTACAGTTTAAATTAACCCTTTGCCCTCGAAGCTATTTTAACTTCAAAACTAAGATATTGTATTATGTTTGTACTGCATGCATATGAAATTAAGCTTCCTTTTTTGTACAATACTTAGATTTTTAACAAATCTGTAAATATAAAACAATTTAACCAGTTAGCTGTTTTTGACGTTATAACGCAAAATGTTGCCATTTATTTATGGTGAACATATTCGTCAAAAAAACAGCTAACTTGTTCAAGAGGATATACAGAATCTGGCCGAATAACATGTACAAGTGGGCATCACGTGATATCTTATAAAAAGCTAAGAAGAAAGTAAAGAATAAAATTCTTTTATTTGATGCTTTGTTTTCGAGAAAATTAAGTTTGAAAATCCATTATATTCGAATGTTTAACGAATAATAGCTTGATGGAAAGAGCATTCGAATATAATGAATTTTCAAACTCAATTTTCTCGGAAACGAAGCCTCAAATAAAAGAATTTTATTTTTTATTTTCTTCTTAGTTTTTTATAAAATATCACGTGGTACCCGCTTGTTCATGTTATTCGACCGGACTCTGTATACTTTGATATTCATTTTTGAATTATATATTTTATAAAAGTGTTGTATTCAAACAAAACATTAAGAAAATCAGACATGTACAGTACAATTACAATAACCCATAGATTTTTCAAAGAGATTGCAATAGCCAACTAGTTAATAATGTAAAAATTACTNCATAGATTTTTCAAAGAGATTGCAATAGCCAACTAGTTAATAATGTAAAAATTACTTTAAAAAATGATAGAGCAATTCTTAATGGTGTTCCAAAGTCGACATTCGAGTGCAAATGATTAATTGTTAGAAACTAGACAGTCAAATATTAATATTTATACCCTAAGTCAATATTCTCAACATTGATATTTATTAGATTGTCCCAAATGTTCTTTCAATACATATATTTAATGTCAGTAGTTAGAGTAATTTGTTAGTTATTTTCTTTCTTGGTTGAACTTTCACTTATTCAATCACATTATTTGCTTGTTTATTGTGTGCATTAGTTACTAACGAAATAAACTTTTG